GAAACTTATCTCAAAGCAATTTACAGAACAAAATATAGCTTTTAGATATTGGATACATTTAAAATTCTGAAATTCTTGAGAAAGAATGGGGCTATCTAAGTTGAAGTACTCCTTTGCCATACTAATAGTAGAGATATTTTATAACTTAAACAGGAATTTTTTGGGTAGCTACTGTTAGAAATTGCTCTCATGAATAGACTAAGAATGAAATTTTTTCTAACTAAAAATGAACAAATCTAATGTCTTGGCTGCAATATTTCTCAAAGAGGTGTCCTATAATAATCTATAAAATTATCAAATAATAATAATAAAGTTTGGTTAAATATTTACCTAAGTACTATAACTTTTCTACTATTGGTAATTTGGTTTAGGGGAGACATTTTTGCCCTTTAAACTTACCCCATGAGATTTTGGTTAACCCCAAATTTTCTTAATAATTATTATTTCAATTAAGTATCCTATAATGACAGTTTGGTGCATCCTAGCTTTACCTGATATCCATATGAGGCAATTAAGCTATTTTGGATCCAGAATTTCCTAAATCATAAATCTCAGTCAGCATAATATAATTTGGAATGATAACATATCTCACTGCTTAATGTTTTGTTGAGAAGAACATTATGGCCCAAGACAAGTAATGAAAGTTTTCTTTATTCAACATCTTCATAACTTGGTTGAACATGATAGATTGGCTAGTTTATTGATTTAGGAATGATCAGTAATATTACTTCCCCTAAAGGAATATTAAGATGATTCATAACAGATTTGAAACCTCATTTTTAGTTTCCCATATGAATATATACAAACTTGTAAGTCTGAGTCTCTTTAAATTTCTTCCTGAGAAATGTTACTTTCTGCACACAAAGGCATCTCAATGTTATAGTTCCTCATGAATTTGATGACTATTTATGTATATATATATATTAATGTATATACAGAATAGCATATATATATAAGGCACAGTAGTTGAGTTCTTGGATTTAAGTTAAAATATCACCCATGTCAGACTAGCTATAGATTTGCTAAGTTATTTAAACTTTCTGTATTTCCATACTTATAAAGCAGGACAATATTATTGACCTATTAAATTTGAGTGAGAATAAATATGCTAACATATGCAACATACATAGAACAGTGCCTGGTAAAAAATAAGTACTCAATAAATATTAGCAGATGGTATTATCTTTGTGACATTTCCCAATTTGAATTCTTATCTAGGTTATGGGTCCATTGACCTTCAAGAGAAAAATATGTATGTGTTCAATAGTCATTTCTGTTCTGATTTCTTCTCATTAAAATTTTTTCCCATTAACTTACTTGTTTACACGATTTTTTACATATTTTATGCCATACATTGCTTATTTCAACATATTATTTGAACTTGAAAAGCTTTATTTTAAAGGAAAATGTACACATTACACTAATAAGTACCTTTGATGTGATGTATCTTTTCTAAACCTTGAAGTTTTATAAATAATAATTAAGTTTAAAAAGTCATCAGCTAAAATAATCTCTTATGCTCTTGATGATTTGAATAAAACACAATTTTAAGCATTGCTTTAGAGGAAAACTTTCTACATATGAGTTGAAGGGAATGCATAGAGAGATCATCAAAATACAGTAATAGCGAGACAAAAGAGCTCATAGAGTTGGCCATCAAAGAAATGGGACAACTGACAGAGGTGAATGATCAGATCCTAATAAATGAATATTTTGGACACATTTACTTGGCACTACGCTCTCTAACACTTGAGGTACTTCAAAGACAGGAGAATGACATTTACCCTAAGATTGGAAAACTAGTCTAGTTTCAAAGAAACAGGGAAAATAACTCCATCCTGGAACTTTTCCGTTGTTTTTTTTATTATGATACATTTGCTACAGAGGTGGGATTCATTGTGACAACTCCAACTAGGCTTATATTGTACATTGGTTAGATCACCCCCATTGTCTCTCCCTCTTGACTCCCTCCTTGCCCCACATAAAGCAATTGCAAGAGGTTTCTTTGTTCTATCTCTATCTCATATAAGTATATGAAGTCCGTCCACCATATCACCATGATCACCTTAATCTTCATTCACCATCCCTGGTCACAAGTACCCCCCACAAACACACTGTGCCTATTTAGTCCTGTCTTTCATTATTAATATATAAATCAATATTCAAAGGGGTTTCTCAATCTATCCCCAAGAAAGTATACTTTACTTTCTTCTGTTCAACCCCTTCCATTGATCTCCTTTACGCTTTTACCTCCCAACCTCCATTTTTCAACATCTTTCAATATCTATCCCTATATCTTCTACTTTCATACTTGTTGTTTTATGATATTGTTGATGCTCTATCATTCTCTTTTCATTTCCCCCCTTCCCTGATAGAATTTTTCTATTCTTATTGGTTGTAAAACACATATATTGAATTTGCAGTGGAGATTACAAATCTTAGTATAATGAATAGTTAAGAGTATTTAAATTCCAAATAGGTAACAGTATAAGATGAATTCAAAGTTCTTAAAGAGGTTTAAATATTGACCAGATAATTTTACCACTGCTGAGAAGCTGAGCTACCAGTGAATAAGCACAGAAGCTGGGTTTCTAGGGTCCCTTCCTTTCACTAGTACTTTTGTTATCTGTTTCCTTATGTATAAGACTTCATTTTGACACCAACTGTGCATCAACTATGATTATCTCTTAGTCATGATAGCTGATACAAAATTCCTTAAAATACATGGTGGCTCCAAAAAATACAAACCGGTTTCTCACTTATGAAATAGAAGAAAGTTTTGTGCAGGAACACCCTCTATAATTTTTCTGTAAGCATAAAATTACTACAAAATAAAAAATTTACTAATGAATACAAAAGTGAGCTTTCTGCACTTAGGCTTTGTTTTCTTCACATGGTGATTCAGAGCCCAAACTCCTTCTGACTGAGTCTTTATCTTTCCATGGGGACTAGTTCAACCTTTACTCCTCGCCAGTATGTATGGAAAGAGAGGACCTTGAAGAGAACGGTTCAGTGGTGAATAGCTTTGACCATTATCATATCATTGTTTCTGTTCACATTTCATTGGTCTGAACTAGTCAGGTGGCAACTTTTAACTGCAAGTTAGGCTGAGAAAGATGGTCTAGATTTGTGCCTAAGAAAGAACACTATAAAATCTTCCCTCTCTTCACCATCTTCACTTTACACTATCTACCAACACTTAGCAATTTCTCTATCCACTTCCCTAAAAGAGACATCCAAAAATCCCATCCAACTACTATATCAGGCTCTATTTCCAGAATCTCTAGTGATAAATAGCTGTTCCCATAAAGCCAAGGTCCATCTGGAGGGTTAAATAATTTAGAACTTGAAATACAAGTTCCATGTCCCATTTGACTGGCCAACAGATAATGATGGAACAAGAACTTGGCAAATTAAAAACAAAGCCAAACATTAATAAAAGGGCAAAATGATAAACAGCCCAGAGTCCCTGGCCCAAAACTATGGATAAATCCTGTTGGAAAAGTCCCATCCGATCCCTGCTATGGGTCTCTGGCCCTTCGTCCCAGGAGAATCCCCAAGTCCACTGTTCTCTAGGATTACTGGCTCTGCTTTCTGGAGCCTCTGCCCTCTGTATTATCCTCCCTGGGACATGTCTGAGCTGCATGTTGGAGAGAATGATCCTGGATTTGTACTTCCCTCATAACAAATACAGGGTTCCAGATTATAGACAGTCATGGATTTTAAGGCCAAGCTTCTGGTTTCTTTGTTAATATAATTCCCTCAAAGTCTTCATAGACATTTATCTAATTCTTTCAGTTAGTTAAATGCACCAGTAGCCAGAGTCAAAGTTAGGAAAGTCCTTTTTTACATATTCCTAAATTCCTTAGGAATTTTCTTTTCTCTCTCTCTCTCTCTGTTAATCTCTCCTCTTTCCTCTCTCTTTCCATCCCCCTTCCTATCGCCTCACCTCTCTTCCTTCATACAAAATATGAAATATTATTAATGAAAACTTTAAGTATACAGAATTAATCATAAATTCCCTATCTCTCTTTTTAATGATAGAGTTTGTCCATATTGCTTCTTATTCAGGAAAAAGAATGAGACTCCTTTTCAGTTGTTCTAAGGCCACTTTGTCATGTGATTTTTCTATACACAATTGCATGATTGAGAGGAAGATGTGAAAAGTAGTAAAACACTGAATCTTAAAAAGTCAAACTCACATCATATACACAAAATGTTTCATAATAAAATATTTTATTTCAATTATTATTAATTACTTATTTTAAGTTACTATGAAAAACAAATGTGTAAAACAATGATTTTATTATACTAAGAGTCTGGTAAAAAAAATTTCAGATAAAGTATAGTAGGAACACTTTGTCTCTCCTCCATGTTTGATGATTGCGTGGAAGTTTGAAGGCTTAGGTGACTCCATGACTGGGTGAAGGAATCACCAAGAAGTCTTCACACTCACATGATCGGTGGTTGATGGTTTATGGTGACTACCTGAACCTCATTGATCTACCAACAAAAAAACCTATCAGGCTTCTCCTTGTGGATACTGTGTGGAGTTACTTGAGCTTCCTCAAAACATGGTGACTATTTTCCAAGTTGGGAGTTCTGAGGGAAGTATGTAACATTTGCATGTTTCAACCTTTGAAGTCATTTAATGGTACTTCTATCATATTTCTTGGTTGAAGCAGGCAAAACCATCTGGCCAGATCTAAAATAAGAGAATGTAAATCTCACTACTTGATAGAGGAAGTGCCAAGGTTCCATTGTAAGACAAGTATATAGGATGTGAGGTATTGTCACAGCTGGCACTCTTAGAATACAACTTTTATTCAAATTAATCAACATCTAAAGCACTTTTCATTTTATGTATATTTATTCACCTTCTTGAATGAATATAAATGCTATTTTCATATGCACTCTTACTAAATTGTGCTCATTTAAATCATTTACAGTTTTTTTTAAGAAAACTATTGTAATATTATCAAATGTGAATATATTTGCAGATATCCCGGCACAGAAGGAATCATTCACAACATGTCTTGAAAGAGATCATTCCTCCATTGGAACAGCTGGTGAGTGAGTAACTTACTCTAGTACTGTGTTTTCTGATGTGCTGCTACCAAACTCCGTGCTTAAAGTAGTACTCATTATTATTATCTCATGGTCTGTGGGTTAAGTATATGGGCACAATTTAACAGTGTCCTTTATTTCAGAGATAATCAAGGGTTGTAATCAGAACTGAGGTCGCAGCTGAAGGTTTGACTGGGGAGACATTTGCTCTGAAACTCAATGATATGGTTGTTGACAGAATTCACTTCCGTTAGCAAGTTGTACGGAGGCTGTCATGCCACTCATCTTCATCTGTTCAGGCTGTTCTATGACTAAGTATAATAGACTGGGTGATACATAAACAACAGAAATTTATTTCTCATGGTTCTAGAGTCTGGGAGTTCTAGATCAGAGTACCTGAATTGTCTGATTCTGATAAGGGCCGTCTTCCAGGCTTCAGACTCCCAACTACTCATTGAACCATCACATGTCAGAAAAAGAGAAAGCTCTATAGAAGTTACCACCATGTAACATGCTATATAATTTCCTTTTATTTGTTTGCCATTGCATAAGATTGTTAGTCTGCCTGTTTTTGGTAAATGGATGGAACTGAAGAACATTATCTTACATGAAGTTAGCTAGGTTCAGAAGGCCAAAGGCCACATGTTTCCTCTCATATGTGGAACATAGACCTAACACAAAACAAGCAATATTATGAAAAGCAGGTCATGGCAAGGGGATGTCACATACAAGAGAGAGGGAGGTAAAAGAAGTTAAGAAGGTGAATATTTTTGATGTACTTCCTACACAAGAATGAATAGTTTTTAAACCTGTTGAAGGGGATGAAGGTAAAAAGGAGAAAAATAGAAGAGATAAACCAATTTGGGTTATAATGCATACATACATGGAAATGTCACAAGGAAACAAATGTATAGCTATCTTTTAAAAACAAAATTGTCATTTTTTTTTTTTTTACAAAAACAGAGAACAGGAAGGCAAAACATGTACGATCTGGGAGTTGGCACAAGTGGAAGGGGGGGAGATATAACAAAAGGGTGTAGCAAGAGGGCGAATTTGGTAGAAATATTATATATTCGTATATGAAAATGGAAATGAGACCTGCCGGGAATGGTGGGGCAGGAGATAAAGGAGAATGCTAGAGGGGTTGAATTCAACTGTGATGTGTTGTAAGAACCTTTGTAAATGTCACAGTATACCCCCAGAATAACAATATTAAAAAGAAGAATGTTAGTCTATGAGGCAGAGGTATTACCTACTATGTTCATTGTTCTACTCCCATGATTCTAGTGATTGCTAGAACATGGAAGAATTCCATACATATATGTTGAATAAGTGCATCAATGAAAAGTCAGTGGCTTTTGCTCTTATGTGCAAGCTTGTAATTCACAGATCTATACTTGCTATTTTTCTCTTTTATTTTCTTATATCCTCAAGCATTCAAATCATTTGTTTCAAGAGTTCTTTCTCAGTGTCATCACAAAAGTGCAGTCTACCAAATTGAATCTATCAAAGGCACCTGCCTAAATTTATTCCCCTTTTCATTGGGTCCATTTCTATTAGTACCGAACATTTGTCTAGACTTAGAACACATTATCTTTAGATCCTTTATTTTCTATGTAATCCTTCACATACATCACCATTTGTGGAAGCAATTTCTCCCCAACTGCTGTAGCATTCATGTGCTGCTCCTTTTACACAGATCTTGTACACTTTGCACAGGCCTTCAAATGCTTTTGATCTCACCTCCCATATTCTTCTGTGCTCCTCCTAATGACCCTAAGCAGTGATGCCAGATCAACCTTCTTTTAAATAATACCCTCATTATTTCATTTTCCTTGTCAAAATTTTCAACAGTTTCCTCTTTTCTATGGTATCAAGTCTGTATACCTCTCTCGTGGCCCCTAATTTATGGTATTTATTTTCTACTCCCAAATACATACCCTCAAGCCAGGACCAGCAACATGATTAAGACATAGCTCAGCCTGAAGGAGCTTGGATTTTTTGTAGCAATTATGGTCTTTCATCCCAGTACATGCTCATGTACTGATTTGTGCTGTTCACTCTTATTTTATGGCTAATAGACTTGTTCCAGGGCTGTACTGTAAATGCCTTGAAGTTAGAGGCCATGACATGTATTTCCTTTATTATGTCATAGTTCCATTGATATTGCTTTTGGAACTAGTGTTTTCTCAGGAAATTTGTCAGTTGACAAAAATGTTAAAGGTTTCTTAAATAATGTTGATTACAGATATTAATAAATATATATCTGCTATTCATAGTGACAGCCAATTTTTCAATATTATAATCAGGTACAACAGTATTTTGATTTCAAAATTGATGATTAGTTCTCAACTTCACATTTTGTATGAAAATTGTTTCTCTGATTCCTCATATTTGAATTAGGTAGCTCTTCTTTGATCTACCTCTCAACAGTAGCTTGGTCTTTTCTCTCTTCCAGCTACATCACACTAAAATTGCCTATTTCCTTAACTATTTCTCTTACTGAACTATCAGCTGTATTAAAAGAAGTCTATGCCTTATTTAATGTTGTATTATTAGGACTTATCATAAAGCCTGTCACACTGTAGCTATCCAATGAATAGGACAATAAGTACTCTATTTGTTTTGCAATCTTTATGTATTTGTTTATTTATTAAAACTTTGGGTTACAGTGCAAATAAAGTACATACAAATAACTACAAATAGTTGTATATTTTATAAAAATGCCACAGGAATGCATTTTCTCTGAAATATTTGATAAAACATGTCCAAAGTTAAAATGAAATTGTAGCTAGGTAACTGTGCATGTGTATACAATTCTACCTACACTTACACAAACACATACACACATAAATATTTACACAATTATATTTTAGTAGTAATAAAAATTTAGTAATAAAAAATTATTATTTTTATTCAAATTTGTTGATAACTACTATCTCATTTTTACTTTAATAGCCATGCCTATATATCAAGCATAAACTAGTTTTAGAGAAATAATTACAATATTCAGAAGGAGTTTACTATTTTCCTTTGTAAACTGTAGTATTTGTCTTACCTCTGTAACCTCAACTCCAAACAAATGAAATTCATTTCAAATATCCCAAATTATGGATAGTTTATTAATAAATAATAAATCTGTGTTCTTAATTCTTTATTCTAGCTCAGATAACCTTTCAAAGTTGATATCAAGAAGCACAATAAATACATGCAAAAATATTCTTTAAGTCCTTTAGTTTGTAATCACTCTCTAAATCTCTTTGTGTGCATATTTCTCTCTCTCTTACCCTTACTCTGTGTGTATATGTGTGTGCATGTGTGTCACACAGACACTAGTCCTATAATCTTTTGAAACTAACAGTTAATTTATTTCTTAGTCCTGAATTGGTTTCCTTGTATCCTGTCTCTAAGTACATACTTTCTTTGTGAACAGAGGTAACTTTTGTCCACTGACTTCTACTTAAATTAAATTTCTTTTTTTTTTCCCCGTTAGTGGTACTGGGGTTTGGCCTCCAGACCTCGTTTTTACTAGGCAGCTGCTCTACCACTTAAGCCATGCCTACTGCCCTCTTATGCTTTAGTTATTTTCAGATAGGGTCTTGTGATTTTTCCCAGGGACAACCTTGTACAATTTGCCTTCTACGTAGGCATCCCATATAGCTGGATCATGTGTGTGGGTCACCATACCAGATTTTTTTTAATAATCTTGGGTCTTCCTGAAATTTTGCTTAGATTGACCTCAACAAGCTGGCATCTTCCTGCTCTCCACTTCCCAAGTAGCTGGAATGATAAGTGTAAACCATTGTACCCAGCTCCTGACTTTCTTATTTAATGTTATTTTAAAGACAGAAATGCCATCTATGCTCTGAATTCTTATTGATAAATTATCCATTATGATGATCAATGCCAAAATAGCCACTAATTTCCCAAAAGCCAATTCTGATCTATTAAGACTTGAGTGATTTTCTAGAGGTCATAGTTTTCTTTACATCTGAGTATATCCTTATATTCTTTTATCTAGACTCATATACTTTTCCCACAATGTAGGCATATTCCTTCTCCCATTTCTCCAACTTTCCTTATTTCCTTCATTCTTTAGTGCTGCTTCTAAGTCATCCACAGGTTCTTATAGTAGTATCTGTTGACAACACCTTAGGATGAGCTTTGGTAATACATATGTATCAAAATCATTTTGAAAAATTATTAAAATTAGGTCAATACTAATCACTTTTATTATTTTATTATTATTGTCATTTGGATCTTCGAGCTTATTTTTTTCTAAAATGTTGTGATATAATATAAATCTAATTTTCTATCTCTCATATTCAGAGAACTCTCCCGAATTTTTTTCTAAGAATCATGAGAGAGTATGGTTATTTACAGCTTGTTAAATTAACCACTAGGCACACTACCTTATGAGGAAAATGATTCATGGTATAAAATGAATGGATGGATGCTAACCCCCTGTGGAGCCACACTTTATTTCTTGATGTTCCGTTTAGTAAAGCTGATTATGATCAACATGGTGAAACACAAGAAGTGCATTGCTTTGAAATATTGTCCAAAACAATATTCCAATATTCAATTAGATTCTAATTGAGTCTAAAAATCTCCTGATAAGGACTACCCAGTTCACTGACACGTATATAATTTGTGCTACATGGTATGAAAAATCCACAGGTTTTCAGTAGGAGAGACTGAAATCATTTCCTAAAAATCCATGTGATTACTTAACAAGTGCTACAATGCAGTAACAACTTTTCATGTAAAACATCAAATACACTAATATTTGTTTCCTAATCTTGTATATTCTATATTACAACTGTTCATGAGATCCAATTTTTCCAGGGCATTTTTCTTTTTCTTCTAAAGAAATATACAAGAAAAATAACCCTGTTTATTGCATGTTAAATCTTTATCGTCCTTCTTTTTATCAAAAGAGTATAAGACTTGTCTACGGATAACCCTACAGGAGTCAAAAGCCTGTGGCAGGTTTTAGAGA